CTCTCTCTCTCTCTCTCTCTCAAAAATAAACACATTAAAAAAAAAATCAAGTGGTAATGAAGAGTCGGTCACTAGGGTGGGCCCTAATTCAATATGACTGGTGTCCTTATAAGAAGAGGAGATTAGGACACAGAGACCCACCCAGAGGGATGGCCATATGAAAACATGGGGAGAAGACGGCCATCTGTAAGCCAAGGAGAGAGACCTCAGAAGAGACCAACCCAGCTGACACCTTGATCTTCGACTTTAGCCAAAAAAACCATGAAACAATTCATTTCTGTTGTTTATATCAAACCAGTCTGTGGTACCCTGTAATGGCAGTGTGGGGAAACTCACACGCTGTGTCCAGCAACACTTTATTGAGTGGGCAAAGGGGCTGTTTCTTGGGACATACCTCTTTCTAGGAACCATGGGGTGGGAGGCATGGCCTGGGAGAGCTGTCTGAATGGAGCTTTATGTTGAAGGAGACACATTCTTCCCTGACTCTCTGATTCCCTCTGAACACACTTTTGTGAGAAGGTGATGTGGCCAAGGTCAGGGTCAGAGGCGTATATCCTCCTTTTCCTAGATGCCTCATGTCTGGTTCTATGAGATGGGAAGGGCCTGCCATATCGTTGATGTCCTTGTAAGGACTTCTAAAAATGTAGTTTAGATCCCTTTAAAAAATGCCAACAGGGGTGCCTGGGCGGCTCAGTCGGTTAGGCATCTGACTCTTGACTTCAGCTCAGGTCACAACGTCATGGGTCACAAGATCAAGCCCCACATGGGGCTCTCCGCTGATAGCCCAGAACCGGCTTGGGTTTCTCTCTCTCCCTCCCTGCCCCTAGCCCGCTTGCCCATGCACTCTCTCAAAATAAATAAATAAACTAAAAAACAAAACAAAACAAAATGCAAACAAAAAATCAAGCCACGTAAAGCGACGCAGGCTTTTTACGGCAGAGCTCAGGAATCTCTAATTCTTTCCGGAGCAGCCACAGACACACGTGGTCTTCGGCTGAGCCCATGGGGTTCCAATGATTCACGCAAGAATAGAAGTTTTGGGGCTGGACCCCAGGAGGGGCCGGAGCCCATGGGGAGATGTTCTGAGTGGCCACGGGCAGCCCGAATAACCTAGCCGCCTCGCCTCGTCATCACGGCCCTGGCTGCCGGCCAAGCCCCGGGCAGAGTAATGACTAACTGGGCTTCCTCCGGGAGGGCGGAAACAGTTCAACTCCTGTGACAGCTGTAGTCAGTTAGGCGTGGTTTTCTCGTCTGACTCGGGCTGTGCAGATCCCGGCCCGAGGGGCAGAGGAAGGACAGCCTCGCCGCCAGAGTCTTCCAGATGGCCGAGCTGGACCTCATGGCTCCAGGGCCACTGCCCGGGATCAGCGCTCACCCTCTGGCCACTGTCAGCCCAGACTCTGGGTCGGCCAGCCCGGCCGAAGAGGACACGGGCTCCCTGGGGAGCCCCCAGGGGGAGCCAGAGGCACAGGACGGCGGCTCTGAAGGGCAGGGGGCTCCAGATAGCGCCGCTGCTGGGGAGGAAGAGGAGGAGGAGGAGGAGGTCCTATGTGACTTCTGTCTCGGCACCTGCAGGGTGAAGGCGGTCAAGTCCTGCCTGACCTGCATGGTGAACTATTGTGAGGAGCACCTGCGGCCTCACCAGGAGAACAGCAAACTGCACAGCCACCAGCTGACCGAGCCCGTGAAGGACCGGGACCTGCGCACCTGCCCTGCCCACCGCAGCCCGCTGGTCGCCTTCTGCCGCCCCGATGGGCAGTGCGTCTGCCAGGAGTGCGGCCAGGACGAGCACAGGGGCCACGCCTTGGTCTCCTTGGATGCCGCCCGCAGGGACAAGGAGGCGAGTGCTGGGGTCCATCCAGGAGAGGGAGGTGGGGAGATGGCGTCCCGGGGAGAGGCTGGACCCCCCCACCCCCACCCCGCATTGCAGCTCCTGGGGCTGCAGACTTCACTATGGCTGTTGGTCCAGCGTAAATACCTATTGCACTTGCCCTTGGGCACTTGGAACAGGTCACTCTGGTCCTGTCTCCCTCCCGCCGTCCCCATGCTGGGTGTGTGTGTGTGTGTGTGTGTGTGTGTGTGTGTGTGTGTGTGTCCACGCTTGCTAGCTTGCTGCCATTTCTCAGCTTTCTGCAGTGGATCTGCGTTTGGGTGCAGTGTGCTGGCGTTGGAGAGCTTTGGGCAGTGACGTCTCCTTCTGGCTGGATCTGTGTGGCAAGTAATGAAATGCACACCTTGGCAGAAGTTCAAGAGAGAGAAAAAAAAAGTCAAACCTTTCGCCTGATTTCTCTTTTCCCCTTTACCCCACCCGGGAGACCAGTAGAAAGTGCCCCTCTAGAGACCCCCGGTGTGAAGTCTGATCTGAGAGCTTAAAAAAATGCCAAGGTAGCATAGAATTGGACACTTACCTTCAGGTCCGATGTCAAGGACGGCTTAACTGAGGGAAAATGGAAGTTCCTCATCAGATAGGGGCGCCAGGAGAGGCTGAGAGACACCACGCACAGAGCCTGTAATTTTATTCCCATCAGATAAAGAGACTGTTTCTAGAACAACTGGCTTTTCTTTGCCCTAAAGCTGATAGCCTGGAGAAGTTCTTGAGAATGGGTTTAGTTACTGTGTATTCTTTGTTTCTCATACTTTGACTCTCCATGAGCGCTTTTTTATTTTTTTTCCTTCAGTAGGGAAGTGCAGTTGACTTTTCTCCCACATTCCTTATGTTCATACTGCTGACAGCTCCCTGTTTACACTACACAGGGCGGGAGACCCACCGCAACTCCTCCTCAGTCCAATGTTCCTGGGCAGCAAAGGGAAGGGCTTTCTGGGAAGAATGCTTTACTTGCCAGGGTCCCTCCTCCGCGTCCTTTCTCAGGCACAGATTTTCTCCAGGGTTAGTGGGAATTGTTCTGGAAAGCTCTGTAGCCCAGGGGTCAATGAGTCACCATCTCCAGCTCAGGAAGGCACTTGCCAAGTGCCTCCAGTGTTTCCAGGGTTAGAGAATGTCAAGTCAGGAAAGCAGGTCACTGCCACTCATGACCAGGATGAATGAGGCTCTTTCGTAATCCTGGAGAGGCTCTCTATCAACAGGTCAAAGGAAAAAGCTCTACATAGTTGAGCCAAGTGGGCTTCAGTAAGTATTGCCGTGTGCCAAATACTCTGTAGATTTTCTCCTCCTCCAATCCTCAGATCACTCTATGGGGTGTCATTTCTTTTTATCGCCTCCACGTTTTCCCAAACTCATACAGGCAACTGAGTCATGGGATGAGGCGTGGAAGCTTTTGGGAAGCCACCCTACTCGGGGAACATGAGTGAAGGACCCTAACCAAGATCACAATATTGTAACTTTCTGTTTGGTACCGAAATCCTGCCACACATATAGTAGAGATATTAGTACAAAGGGTCCTGCTGTTCTCTGTGGGTATAAATGTCTGGATATTGTTATATTTACCTGGAAAAAGTGATGGGCGTACATGTTGAAAACCAGTCTCCACCAAAGGTTGCAATAGACCATATCAGGAAAAGGTCTCCCTCCCATCCTGGATCCCCTCGCTTCCTTCCTCAGTTAAACACTACTATCTCGACTTTCTTCTGTTTCCTTTCAGAAATATTCTGTGTCTGTATTGGCAAGGGATACAATATGGATATTAAAAAAAATTTTTTTTTTAAAGTTTATTGAGAGAGGTAGAGATAGATAGAGAGACTGAGAGTGGGAGAGGCAGAGAGAGAGAGAGAGAATTCCAGGCAGCCTCCATACCATGTGTGGGGTTGGAACTCATGAACTGTGAGATCATGACCTGAGCCTAAAGCAAGAGTTGGACACTTAACCAACTGAGCCACCCAGGTGCCCCGCAATCTGGCTTTTAAACAATGAAAACTTGTGCACCACAGGGAGGGTGATTGTAGTTCCGAGCAGGGAACAGTTGCGTAAAGCGTGTTCGGAACCCTGGATTCAGACATCCTAGGGGAGAGCTGTGTAAGGTGAAATAAAAACTTGGTAGAGGAGCTCTAGAGTCATTTTTTTGGTGCCGAAAAGCCGTCACGGTTACAGGTACAATGCAACAGCCCCACCCCCCAGACTTGTGGTAAAGGCCCCAGTTCAAAACCTCCGCCTTGCCGGTCTGCACGACAGAGCTCTTGTCCTTTCCATCCTGTGCCCTTGTTTTCAGCTCAGAGAGCAAGCCTACGTCCTAAGTGCAGCCAGACTCTTGTTGGCTCTACCAAATCTTAGGAGCCAAAAGCTTTCTTGAAAGGAGCCCAAGAGACCAGCCCAGAAGACCCAGTGGCTTGATGAGGCTGTAACCGCCACCGGGACTATTTTGAAAGTTGTACTTGACATCATTAAGGTTCCAGAAGCTTGGTATGCCCTTCAGCTAGCGCCGGCCTGATGGAGTCCTTTGCAGCGAAGGTCACTTTGGGTAGTGCTGAGGGCTAATTACTGAAGCAGGCACATTGTTTCAGGAAAGTGCAAACGGCAGGGTCAGCCACGAGGACACAAAAGCAGCTGAGATCCTGCATCAGAGTGACAGAGCCACCGATTTCTCCATTAACCAAGGGAGCCCCTGCTGAGGCTCCTCGGGTCTCCGGCTATGCCAGTGGGGGCAAAACCTCAGGATTCGGGGAGTTGGGTGTTCTTTGTTATATGTTCCGTCCTGCTGGGCTTCCAGAGCCCGGCTCTTCCTGATGGGGACCCCTCGACACTTCTCTCCGCCCCGGGCCGGCTTCCTGAGGCCTCTCAGTGCAGTTGGCCTTGTGCACTGGCTGCTGATTTCCCGTACCTTCTCTGAATCACGGGCATGCTGCTATGAGAACGAAACTGGGTGCGTGCGTGCGTGCATGCGTGCGTTCATGCGTGTGTGCATGCCTGGTGAACGCTTCCTGACCCAGGAAGTGCACGTGCTTCTTTCCTGTTCTCCCTCAAGCTTATCAAACCATCATTGATTGCTTCCTATGGGCTAAGCGTGAGACCACACTGTCTGTCCTCGGGGAGCTTGGACTCTAACGAGGAAGCCAAGGAATGTTCCACGGCTCCCTGGAGTGCCAGAGGGCTGAGGCAGCAGAACAGCTACATGTTCCAAGGACGGAGTTGTCACCAGGAATGAGGCCAGGGCAGGGTTCTCAGAGAGGGGGACGTCTGTCTTGGATCATGCGTCCACTAGTGACAGGCCATTACATTCAGCCTCAGCATTGGTTCCAGAAAGTTCAGGACTGGACGTGGCCCACGGACAGTCTCCAGGTAGAGCAGGAGCCAAGTTTCTGTGAGCCACACGAACCAGCATTGTCCTCGGCCCATTCTCCGGTAGCCAAAAGGCAGATGATTGGAGGCCACTCAGGAAAAGAATTTCTTCTGGAAGTTCTGAGAAATGTTTTGGACTCAGTATTATTACATAACTTGTTTTTCCTTAGACATTCTACCAGGGTGTATATCTCAGGGAGGATGTTCTGTTTGGCTGGACTGGCGTGTAGTAGGTTCTGACCAATCCACTGAGGAATGAAGTCAGCCCGGGTAGAACTCTTGTGCTACCAAGTGCAAACTCTCCAGAACGACCAACCAACGTTGTGTGGATGGAAATACAAAGGAACCGACACCACCTGGAATTTTCTTCTCCCTTCACCTTCCCTCCGCTATTCTTACCTGCACCTCTGACCTGAAGTCTGACCCCTGAGCTCTGGGTGCTACCTTCCACAAGAACAATTCTGTTAACCTATTCTTGTGGCCCTGAACCAGAGGAGAAGCTAAATGATCTGACAGGGAGGGACGCCGGGGTGGCTCAGTCAGTTAAGCATCCAACTTCAGCTCAGGTCATGATCTCACAGTTCGTGAGTTCGAGCCCCACATCAGGGTCTGTGCTGACAGCTCGGAGCCTGGAGCCTTCTTCGGATTCTGTGTCTCCCTCTCTCTCTGCCCCTCCCCTGCTCGCGCTCCGTCTCTGTCTCTGTCTCTGTCTCTCTCTCTCTCTCAAAAAGAAAATAAAAACAAAATAAATTAAAAAAAAATGCACTGACATGGAGAGATCACATAACCAGCAATGGCGGGTCTCAACACTCCAAATACTGTGCCTCTTGTACATGTCATTACCTTGCTGATGTAGACAGTGCCGTCCCGTCTAGGACTGCCTTCAGTCATTGACGCCACTGTCTGGCTTTTGTGCGGGGTCCACCCTGCCCCCCCTCCCCCCGGAAGTGTGTACAGATGACATCTTGGGAAACCCTAAAGCCAGAGCCTGGGGCACCCTGTCATTTTCTAGGAACAGGATTAACTGGAGATACAGGTCTCCCCAAGCGGCCCCACCTTTTGTGGTAATCCCAGCGCCTTCCCCTGGGGTGACTCACTCAAAGAGGTCCCCACTTAGGTAGTCAGGAGTCCTTTTCTCCTTTTATGGCAGTCTGCAGGCAACGGAGAAGGCCCATTCCCCGGCTCCTCTCTGGGAGCGTCCCTGTGCTCCACATCAGGTTGGGGCTGCCCGTGTTGTCCGCTGCCAGGCTGTGTTTCCGCTCTGTCTCCTAATAAATTTTTTTTTTTCAACGTTTATGTATTTTTGGGACAGAGAGAGACAGAGCATGAACGGGGGAGAGGCAGAGAGAGAGGGAGACACAGAATCGGAAACAGGCTCCAGGCTCCGAGCCATCCGCCCAGAGCCTGACGCGGGGCTCGAACTCACGGACCGCGAGATCGTGACCTGGCTGAAGTCGGACGCTTAACCGACTGCGCCACCCAGGCGCCCCTGTCTCCTACCACCTTTAAACAAGCACGTCACGTTTCTCCCCTTCCCTGGGACAGGTCACTGTATAAGCCTTTTATTTATTTACTTCTTTTAATGTTTATTTGTTTTTGAGAGAGAGAGAGAGAGCACACAAGTAGGGGAGGGGCAGAGAGAGAGAGAGAGAGAGAGAATCTATAGCAGGCTCCAGGCTCTGAGCTGTCAGCACAGAGCCGGACGCGGGGCTCGAACCCGTGAACCGTGAGATCATGACCTGAGCCGAAGTCAGACGCTTAACCGACTGAACCACCCAGGCGCCCCTGTGTTAAGCCATTTAGATAGACCAGGATTCCATGACTGCTCCCAAAAGGCCAGACCCTCCCTCCGCCTCCAAATAGGTCTGGGGTGGGGAGGTCGTGAGGCTCCCTTAGTCCAAGTCAGCATCCCAGGTCCTGAGCAAAAGGAAACAAAATAAAACAAAGCAAAGGAGTTACCTGCCCCCTGCAGAGGGGGACGAAGCCTCCTTCCTGCCTCCCTATACCCTCACAAGGGGGCCTGGAATCCGCCCCCAAGTTTCTGTAGGAAAAAGCAGAGATCATTTATGCCCTCTGAGTTCCCTTAGGGCCAAATGACACACGGCTTCAAACGCAGACAGAACCTGTTGAAAGCAGTTAAAAACTATTCTTTTTGTGCCGATTCATGCCCTTGTGGTCGGGCCTTTGAAGGTTGCAAAGGTTTCGGCTTTATGTGTTGGCACACTTCTTGGCAGAAAGGTGCTCGGGGAGTCTCCGGAAGGAAGAGTGAAGCAGGTGGTGGGGATCGGGGTGGGCAAACCCGAGGTTCTCGGGCAGGCACTTGGCTTGGGCGGGAGGGCTCGCTCTGCCTGCCTCCAGGCGCGATGAGCGCGTGATGGGACACAGCCATGGTGGCACCACCCGGGACAAGAAAGGGTGACCACGAAGGCCTCACTGACGTTGGTGGAGCACGAGCAGCGTGCCAGCTACAGGGGCAAGTTCATAGTCACGCCCGCTGTGTCATTCGATCCTCACAAAACCCCCATGAGTGAGGTGCCTCCGTTATCCCGATTTCACAGGTGAGGCAGTGGAAGTCAAGAGGCGCTAAGTAGATTTTCCACTGCCAAGTAGAAAACCTGGGGTCCCTACCCTTGGCTCCAGCTCGTACTCCTTGTATGGTTATTCCGGGGGCAGGGAGGCTGGGCTCCACTGCACTGATAGACTGTGTGACCTTGATTAGGTGGCTTCACGGTATCATCTGTGAGATGGTGTTTACCTGCTGCGGGTGTGCTCGGGACGACAGGAGGTGGTCCACCTAAATGCTTGAAGTGACGGCCAGTTGCCGCACAGCAGACGTGCTCACCGCCTTTTTAGGGGATCTGTGCCGAGTTCGGCCCCAGCAGGTGCTGGCCCACAGCTTACCCTTCCTGTGGATTTCGGGCCCTCCAGGCTGGCTTCTGAGGCAGCTCCCAAGGTCAGAGTCTCCTTTCCATGGGACAAGAGTGAATAGTACATCGCTCCGGGGGACATTCTGGGTTTACCCCGTAACTTGTTCTTCCTTCTCCTCAGGCTGAACTTCGGGACACCCAGTTAGAGCTGGAACGGAAACTCAGGTTGAATGAAAACGCCATCGCCAGGCTCCAAGCCAACCACAAATCCGTTTTGGTAAGGCTGGCCCATCTGGGGTTGTGGGACATGGGGTCACAGGCCCAGCCTCCCTGTCCATGGGCGCCTTGGCGTTTCTCGGCGGATGGGGATTATAGGTATGGATACGATTGGCTATGCCATGGGATAGCCTCACCTCGCTGCCAGCTTTTGCTATGAAATTAGTTTAAGGTTCAAGACTGGCAAGTGATTGACTTTTTAATAATACAGAGTAGAGCAAGTCTAATCCTATAATAACAACATTCCTGTTTTTACATTTGCATATGCTTTTCTGACCAGGAGAAAGGGGTGTGCGTAGGAGCAGAGGGGGTAGAATTCCAGGAATCAGGCAGAGTCTGGCTTGCTTCTATCATGGAAGAGTGTTTTGCATGTGAATGTCACCAGTCCTGTGTCCTGGCAGCCAGAAAAAAAAAGAGTGGAGAACTGCTTGATTAGTGGATGGTGACTTGATAAGGCCAATGGTGTGCCCGGCGACTTAGTTTTAGTCTGTCTCGTATATGGCCATTTTCCATATACAGTGTAAGTAGAGCCAAACAGTTCCACAAATATTTCTCAGTAGTGGAAAGCCAATAACCATCACTCAGAAGAGAATCCCAAACGCCTAAGCTATGGTAGTGAGTCAGCAGCAGCATCTTTGCATACCTTGAATGATTCAATCCATCTTTCCTTCCTTCCTTCCTTCCTTCCTTCCTTCCTTCC